CCCCTGGTCCTACCCAGCTGGTTGCCAGTAGGAAGAGGCCATGCAAAGATCCACGGCCCTGGAAGGGTCAGTGCAGCCAAGACTTGGCAGGCAGCTCTCCTGCCAACGCCCTCTGAGCCCAGGAGGGGATTCAAGGAGGGGGCACAGCTCCAAGCAGAGGACACCTGGGGGTCACCTCCTCTAGGGAAGCCCAGCTGAAGTCCAGCACCCTACCCGACCACCAAGGGTGGGTGCAACAGGGCCATTTGAGTCCCAGTCCTGCGCGTGGGGGCCTCCAGGAGGCTTGGTGTTTGTGTGGGTGGGCATGCACACACCCGCGCTCCTCCACCAGAGTCCACGGCCCGTGACAGCCCTCAGACCAGGTCCCCAACACCAGCAACATATTGATTGGCCCAGAGAGGTGGGTGAACACGCTAAGGACAACAGCACCGCTGCCCCTCTGCATCAGGCTCCTTCCCTCTGGGTAAGGCCTCCACCCTCAAGGTTCCCTGCATTGCTGGGGGTCACCCTGGAACCCCCACCTCTGAACACACATGCACATATGCCCACTCTTTCAGAGTTTCTGCCTGGTGAGCTCAAGCTGCCTCTCCACCAACTTCCTCACTGCCTCAGCACTCAGAGCCTCGTGACTCACCAAGGGGGAGGGGGGAGGAAGGGGAAGACAGACAAGGCTGCCCCTCCTGACTCACTACCACCCTGCTCAACCCCTGCACCCTTGGACACCCACCACTGTCCCCAGCAGGTGCCTGAACCCCAGCCTCTTCTGCTGATTTGTGCTGCAAAACCACTCCCACACTCTGGTGTCACACGCAGGTTCCTGCTGTCCCTGGACTGGACGGGAGGGGACCCAAGAGGAACAGCCTAGAATGATCCCCTATGCAGTAGCCATGGGGACCAGCACCTATCAGGTGTGCTGGGTGTGGCCACCCCTCTCAGCAGCCACCACCAGCTGCTCAGTGATCCAACCAATGCACACCTGGCTCAGTGCAGTGGGGATGTGGGGGTGGGGTGGCCCAAAGAGGACTCTACAGCCAGTCAGGCTCCTCCCACCATGAACGCACCACAGCTGGGACAGGCTGAGACCCAGGTGCCAGGCAGGTGACCCAGCCACTCACCAGACAGGGTCTGATGGAGGGAGAGAAGGGACCAGCATCATGTACCACCTCATGACAGAGCCTTCCCCACCCCTGTGGCAGGCGCACACACACATGCACACCCCCATTCACACACAGGTTCTGCAAGACAACCTAACCACCCACTTCCAAGGGCAGGGCTCCCAGGGCCACCTGCTTCCTGTGCATTCTTTGTTTCCTTTTGACTTTTGTTATTTACAGCACTTTGAATCAAACCCACACTGTGCTACATCTCTGGCCCCGTGTTGAGACAGAGTCTATGTTGCTCAATTGAACTCAAACTTGCAGTCCTCCTGCCTCAGCCTCCTGAGTGGCTGGGATTTACAGGAGTATACCATCATGTTCAGCTTGGCTAGGTTCTGTTTTGCAGTCCTGGGGCTCAAATTAAGGCCCTTGTACATGCTAGGCAAGCACTTGCCACTGAGCGGCACCCCCAGCTCCTCCTGTTCCAAAACAAGAACCTGACTGGGCCGGAAAGATGGCTCAGTAGAGTAAGTGCATGCCTGGCAAGCGCAAGGGCCTGAGTTCAATCCTGGTTCCGCCAAAACAAACAAACAAACAACAACAACAAAAAAAAAACCCATTCAAGACAAAACAAGAACCTGGTCAAGCCCACATTGGTAACTGGCCCTCACCCTCCACTTACTAAACACCATGCACTTCCCAAGGAATCCAGACCTTGCTGCCCCCTCTAAGGACTCCTGACTGCCTAGCTGGTGCCCAGGGTCCATGCCCCGCCTGTCCTTGCTTGGGTGGCCTACAGTGTCACTGTGACCTGTCCTTTCCCAAAACCCAACAAAGCAGCTGCCACTTCCTGTTCCTGTTCAGCAGGACAGACGGACAGAACCTGGAAGCACTGTCTGCGGGGCTTCCTTTGGTCGCAGTACTGAAAATGAAACCCAGGGGCGCCCACCACGGAGCTCCGGCCCAGCCCTGTTCATTCTAATACAGACTTCCCCTACCTAAGTCACCCCATTGGGACTCCCAATTATTTTTTTCTTTTCTTTTTTTTTTTTTTTTTAATGCATTTAGTACAGGGTCTACAGGGTCTCACTACACAGATCCGACTCGTAGTGATTCTGTTTTCATAGGACTTGAATTCTTGATCTTCCTCCCTCAGCCTCCCAAGTGCCGGGAGCACAGGCGTGCACCACCACACCCGCTCTCCCTCTCCAATTCCTAACCAAACTGTTCCCTGAATCCCATGTCCCAGTGGTTGGCCCAAGACCTTGGGGTGGGGGTGGGGACGGGGACGGGCGGCTACAAGGTCAGCACAAAGCATTGCCCACTGCCCACCTACATCAGACGGCCAGACAGGGCAAAGGTGACCTAGGGTTGTCCCAGCTAGTATGAGGGTGGGGTCACCCCTACACAGCACAAATCAAGGAAAAGGAATCCAAAAAGAGGAACTGCAACCAATCCCAGGCAGTGCCGCCCCAGGGAGGGCCTGTAGCGCCAAAGGTCCCAGAGACATTCCCCACCCCCACTGTGCCCTGTACCATGTGGTGGAGCAGCTGACCAGGCTCCAGTCTCAGGAGAGGCACCTCACTCAGGCTACTGTCCCTTCTACTCACCGACAGTGACCCCAGTGAGATCCAAACATTGAGGTGCCATTTTCTATTTCTTTATGTATTTATCTGGTAGGGGGTGTGGTGATCCTTCTGTCCCAGCCTCCCAAGTGCTGGGATTACAGGTGTGCGTCACCACGCCCGGTTCTGGGGCTAGCACAGCATGCAGTACCAAGAACGGAGCCTGGATCCTTGCATTTGCCAAGCAGATGCTTAGACTGCTGAGTTATCTCCCCAGCCCTAAGGTACCATTTTCACCAAGAGAAATCTCACATCAAAATAAAATTAGAACGAACACTGTGCAGATAGGCATGGTGCTTTCCGAGCACAGGGGAGGACTAAGCAGGGGTGGCAAGGTGTAGGGTCCACAGGCAGCAGGATGGGGGCTCCATTATAGATATATCCATCTCAGGCCCAGACCCTTTGTTTCGGGCTTTGAAGTGCTAGCTGAAGGCCTTGTCAGAGTCCCCACAGCAGGGACAGTGCAAGGTTAAGATGCAGCCTAGAGCAGACCCAGACAGGACCACAGAACAAGCCCACAGGACAGGATGGAGGCACGGGCCAGCTTTACCCTCTTCAGTCATACCTTCTTCAGGTCAGAAGCGTTAAAGCAAAGAGAGCCGCCCCCCCTGCTCCTTGTGCCCAGGCCCTAGCTCTGGATCCTGAGTCCCTCCGATCAGCAGGCTGGGGTAGCCCAGGAGCCAACACCACTACAGTGGCACGCCAAGAGTAGAACAGTTACCTACCATGTACATTTAAGTCACTATCATGGAGCAGTTCTGATCCTGTCCCAGGCCACACTCCATGGCCTTTGGACAGGACTCCAGCCTGGCTATGCCCAGCCTCTTAGGGACCTCCCACCAAGAAGACAAGCCTGTAGCCCCTTCCCAGGCTCGGTCCTTCAGGGTGGCCACCAAACATCACCACCAGCTGTGGCCCAACAGTTCTTGTGACAAATGAGGATGTGACCAGAGTCCAAGACAGCACCACGCCCAGCCCTCAGGGCATTGCAGTGAAATTCCCAAAACCTCCCTGGGGGAGAGTTGAGTGCAAGGCCTGCACCAACTCTGCAACAAGCCCCAAGGTCAACTCTGAGCATCAGGGAACAGAGAAGGTGCAGCGCTGGAGCCCCATGCTGGCTCTGTGCCCACCAGAGTCTGAGGCAGGGAGATTCCTGGAGAGCAAGGAACAAAGCAGGGGCTGATGAGGAAGGGGTTCACCCTCCTGGACACCCTGGCACTCAGAGTTAGAGTACAGCCCGAAGCCCCTTACTGAAACACAGACCACACTGGAAGTCTGGGGAGAAGAGAAATTTATCTAGGACCTGGATACCCAGGAGGATGGTGGGCTCTTGAGGGCCAGTAGACAAAGTTCACTTGGACAAATGAAAGGAACTGCAGAACAAGGGACAGGGTTAGGGTTCTGCCTGGTCTCTTGGCCACCCCAAGACACTCCACACAAGGGCCTGGACAGCATCTCAGCTCATGGGAAGGGCCACACGGGCAAGTGGCTGGCCCTTAATAATCCATGCTGGGCACTTCACAGTGGGCACTGCTGGCTCGCGTGGGAAGGCTCCCAACAGCGTACAAAGGGCAGGCGCTAGGCCTTTCCTGCCTAGGCAATGAGCAACAAAAGGCAAGGCCGGCCGAGGACCTATTCACCGAGTGACCGCGCCTCTCTTCTCCTCCCTGGGGCAGGGCCTGGGGCTGTGTGTGAGCTGGGCATTGAGGCCCTTCTCGGCAGCGATAGAAAGGGGAAGCAGAGATAAAGCTTGGCCCGAGGGGACCAGTCCTCTCCAGGAGGAGGTTGGGATCCGAGCGTGTGGGGAACCTGCGGCGGAGCCAAGCCGTCCCACCCCGCAGAAAGTGAAAGTGCCCCAGAGAGAACTCGACTGGTGAACAAAGAGCTGCAGAGGGCGCGGGCGCAAACCTGCGTCCTTCTCGTGACCCCAGGGAGTCCCGGCTGGGATGGAGTGCAGAACGGGGCTCTTGGGAGGCTGGCTATCTGGTACCCCGGGCCGGGAAACGCGTGGGCACTCCAGGGACCGAGCCTGGGGCGCTCCAAGAGCCACTAGGGCCCGGGCTACCCCTACGGCGCCACTCAGATGCGCACCCACCATACAAGCCCAGGAAAGGAGGCGCTTCCTGACCGGCGCCAGGAGAAAACAGGCGTGCACAGGGAGGAGTGGGGCACCCCAACTTAGGCATCCCACCTCGAGTCATCCCAACCCCAGGTATACCACTCCGGGTCACCCCAGCCCCGAATCGCCCCCTGCCGCTCGCCCAGGTGCCGCGCTCACCTGAGTTAGGGCGCTCGGACTCAGTGCCCGAGAGGATCCCTGGAGACTCGGGGTGCTCAGCTTCACTGTCCTCGGCCCCCGCCCCGTCCCCGCCAGCGCGCGCCTCCACGGGAACCACGGTGAAGTTGGTGGGCATGGCGCGATTGCCGGCTGCCCTGCCACGGACTCTGTGCGCTACTGTACGCTGGGCGAGGTTCGCTGGGCCACCCACGTGACCGCACCTGCCCGCCCCGCGCCGCCCCAAAGTTGGCCTGCCCAAGGAAAGGGCGGGGCGTCGCAGCAGGACAGCGTGAGCCTCCCGCCCCCTGCGGCCGCTGGGGAGCGCGCAGGTTCCCGCTGCAAACCGAGGGTCACGCCCCTGGTGCAAGCCACGCCCACTGAGGCCACCCCTCTTTCCATAGGCCACGCCCGCAGCGTGGAGATCTTCCCAGCCCCGCAGGTCACGCCCCACCCTCGGGCCACGCCTCAGTCTCCCGGCCACCACCGAGCCCGGCTCGCGCGCGCGCTTAGCCTGGGGGCCCGGGTTGAAGAACCAGTAGGGCGAGGTTGCCCGGCTCCGCCACACCTTGCGCCCCTCCCGGGACTCGCCCCCATCCCGCTGCGCCCCAGACTGCGGAAGCTGGAAGGGAAGGGCGCCACCATCTGGCACCGTCCCGTTCGACCCAGCAGAACCGCGACGGCCGAAAACCTGTCCTTGCAGAAGTCCAAGAAGAGTTTACAGTACCGGGCTGTGGAGGAACCAACCAGCAATACTCAATACAGAGGCAGAACTGCTATCTGTAGACCAGGGCGCTTTGTCCCCTGAGGCAGGCTGTCACGGGGACCACACGCAAAGAAGGACGACTACCTCTCCAAAACTATGTACTTGCTAGGGGCGGGCCCTGCAGAAAGCTCTGCATCTCACTGGAAGCGGCAAGCTGTACTACTCACAAGGGCAGGCAGCAAGTGACACCCCCACCTGGTTCAGCCAAGGGTGGGCACAGAGGGGACGTCAGGGACCCTGCCGAGGGAAGACGCAGTGGGCAGGAAGGTGAGATTAGAGGAGCTTCCTGCCAAGGCCCACAGGTGGAGGTCGACCCTGCCAGTCACTGCGAGGTCCATGGGCTGGGTGTGTCCCAGGATCAGGCAGCCCCTCCTGGTGGGGCAGTCCTTCCCACCCACTTTTACCACACTTCATCACCACTCTTCATGGAGTGTAACAGCTAGCTGTTTTTGGGTTTTGCACTGGGGTTTGAACCAACCAATTGTCTTCATAATTAGTCACCAGCCCCTCTGGGACAGGATCTTGCTAAAATGCCCAGGCTTAACTTGAATTTATGATTCTCCTGCCTTGGCTTCCCAAAGTGCTGGTATCACAGGTGTGCACTCCCACCATACTCCACTGTGTAGCTGGGTTTGCAAATGGACATCTCCAGCCTGTTCCTCAGCGTCCTTTTCATCTCTGCCGTCTCTTCCATTCCAGCAGCTTTCCTGTCCTCACTCTGTATACACACTCATACAGCCTGTGGAGGCCCTGGCTCTAACTGCTCATTGCACTATGCCATGCCACATGCTCTGCCCTGAGGCCTCTTCATTCTGGAGTGGCCTTGTGGTCAGCGGTGTTCTGCAGGGCATGCATGGGCTGCTAGGGTTACTGGTTCCTGGGGCTTGCAGAGCACGGCTCTACACAGCAGTGTCAGAGTGGGAATTTGCTGGGGCATCTATAAGGTAGTGGCTCTCATCTGCCTGTCCAGTACCCACAGGTCAGCCAGGAGGTCAAGGCAGCTGCCCCTGCTTCCCCCATCTTCCCACCATCCCCCTTCACCTCATGTACTGCTGTCTTAGCCTGGCCACAGAAGCCTCTCCAGACTAGACTGTGACCTGGGCACTTCTGGTGGCTGCTGGGCTGCATGGCAAGCACAGCGTAGGGAACCTGGGACTTCCCGTGCCAGCTGTGGTTGTGAATGCAGGATGCAGGCCCAGTGCCCTATCCTGACCTGAACACGGAGTTGCCACCTGGCTCAGGAGGACACTGCTGCCTTGGCTTCCAGGTCGGAGGCCCCTGTGCTGCGTTGCAGTAAGGGCCCCGCAGGCTCAGCTCCAGGCACAGGCCCAAGGCACTGGGTCTGCAGGCAGGACTGAGTTTCCAGTCCACCCAGTGCCTCTACCTTCCTGCTAAAACTGCTTCTACTCTTGGTGGTGGCGGTATGTGTGAAATTTCTGTCTTCCCCATGGAGGATGCACCTCTGGTGGCAAAGGATGTGAAGTGGAGAGTTTCCAAGAACTAGGTGCAAGGAGGAGGGCCCTCAGAAGAACCCCAAGAATACTACTGGCTTCTCACTGGAAGCTGTCCACCATAGCTGTGTACAACCCTGCAGCGCCCAGGTGCACACTCCTGGGCTTGGGGCCTTTTGCAGAACCCATCAGTTTCCTTGCCCTTAACTTGACACTGGGGCTCCCAGGACTCCAGTCAGCTGCCCTCAGACCCCAAAAGCCTAAGCCCACCAGAGAGCCCACAGGAGATGGAGAGGCAGGAGGGAGAGAAGAAGGAGGGGAAAGAGAGAGAAAGGAGGGAAGGGAAGGTGGAGGAGGGAGTGGAAGGGAAAGAGGAAAGGGGAGGAAGAAGGAGAAGGGGGAAGTGGAGAATATGCAGGACTGATCTGCCCAGGGCACCAGGAAAAGGGCAGAAAGCATGCAGGATAGGGAGCCTGGGAGGTGACTGCAGGGACAGGGCCATGAAGAAGCAGCATGGGTGGGGGGGCAGTGCTCCCTGCCACCCTCCACAACCTGCAGAAGGGAAGCCTGTGTCACCCAGCCCTGGGCCCTGCCCTGGGCCCTAAGTCTTCTTCTCCAGGTCCCCAGATCCCTTCTGCTCCCAGCACCAGGAGACCAGGCTATTTTTATTTCAGACACAGCCTTCTGTCAACAGGAAAGGGCCAACAGCAAGTCTGTGTGAAATCTCAAAGCTTGAGGACAGAGAAGCCCCAGGCTCCCAGGCTCCCAGGCTCCAAACACAGGAACTTCCCAAGGCCTGGACCTCCCTACACAGATCCCCAGATGGCTGTGCATTCAACCTGGGGGATCCTTACCATCAGCCCTTGTCCCTCCATGTGGGTAGAAATCCCTGCTCCTAGGGCAGCCACGGGCCCAAGCACTAAGCTGTCCCTTGCGGCAGGGCCAGCCTTGGTTCTAGTCACTGTTCTTGGCTGCCAGGGGAGCTTCATGGCCTCTGCTCTCAGCTCAACCCCAAGTAGTTGCTGAAAACCATTGTCTGGAGCTGATGGTACAGCTCCCTGGTGAGCAGTACCAGCTTGTTCTGGGCCCAGGCTCTGTCCCACTGCTACAAGAGTGAAAACAAAATATGTCTACTTGCTTTGGCAGCTGTTGCCTTTTTAAATTGAGGGGTTTCCATTCTTGGCTACTTTTCTTTCACCCGAAAGGCATGAAAGGAACGGCTTCAGGGTTGCATCCATGACAGACAGTGTTTAAAGTGCACTGCTGTGGAGGCAGGACCACACAGGCACAGCACCTGAGGGAATGAATAACGCAGGGTGGGGGAGGGGGCTGCAGCGGGGATGAGGGGACCAGGGACCCAGCCTCTGCGCCCTTTGCATTTGTCACATGTCCCAGCTCTGTCCCGACAAAAATACCTCCCAATCGTTTTAATGCTCACAGCTGCCACTGCAGGAGACAAGCAGGCCACACTCAGTGCCCTCGGCACGATCTCTGTCCTATTATTACCCAGTGCAGATAAGGGGACACATGGTTGGCGATAAAGGTCAGTCCACAGGGCGTCGCTGGTTGGGGATGGCTGGCTGCAGAGAGTAGCACAGTGTGCAGAGAGGGCTCACAGGCTGCCCCTCAGCGGGGCACCCTCAACACCAGCCCCCAACCCAGAAAAGCCCCAGCCAAGGAGGACTGCTGCACCCAGGGGACACCCTCCGTGGGCTGGCAGCCGCCTCCTGTGCCCTTGGGGACACAAATGACTCTGAGGCAGGTGTAGCTGCCAGGTGCGCTCCAAACAGGCTTCCCTCCCTCAAGTTTAAACTCCAAATTCTGCTTGGCAAAGCAAGCAGAAATTCAGCCCTTTCCCACATCCCTAGCCCCTTGAGAGAGAGGAGTAAGTGCATGTGCCTGGCAGCAGCATTGCTGTACTCAGACCTTACGTGCTGGGCTGGGACCCTGTATGCAGCCAGGTGACCAGCTTCAAATCTATTGTGAATCACTTTTTTTTTAGTACAGCCACTGCAAGGTGTTAGTTTCTCCATCCTCAGAGTGATGCCTTTTTACAAATAAGCTTCAACTGTCCCTGAAATCCACCAACACACACGGGCCTCACACCCTGAAATCCCTGCCCGGCCCCAGGTCGGCCCCTAACACAAAGCCTCGTCCCTCCTAAGAGGCCACTCTGTAGACCAGGGAAATTTAACACCAAGATCCCAGTGAGTATAAAGAAAAAGCCTTTCAAAAGCAGTGCTGCTGGGGTGTGGCTCAGTGGCGAGACCCTGGGTAAGGCGGGTGGCAGCTGCAAATCTGCAAGAGACACACACATTTTCCAACAGAGCAAAGGAGGGTGGGCGCAGGGCACCTTCCTCAGCTGGCCAGGGGCTCCCTGCACAGGAAGGCAACTGTGGACATGATCTTGTGCTGCTTATTTTCAAATGCTAGAACAAAGGACTTGGAATGTTTTTGCATAAAGAGGTGACAGGCATTTGAGGGGATCCATACATGTGTTCCGACTGAAATATGACAGAAGGTATACTCATGATGAACCATCTCACAGCACCCACTAATATGTACGGCTTTAGCCTATGTTTTGGTTAGGTGAACTGAATTAAAAACAAAAGCAGAAAGGTGCCTGGCATGGTAGTGCATACACCATCACTTGGGAGGCGGGGCAGGAGGACTGCCACAAGTTTGAGGCCGGCCTGGGCCACACAGTGAGTTCAAGGCCTGGCTGAACTACATGGCGAGATCCCATGTCAGAAAGCTAAAAAAAGAAGTGGACTTTCAACTCCAGCTCTGGTGGGCAGATCCCAGAACCCCTGGGAGGGGTGGGGATGGAGAACAGCTACAACCTGGCTTCCTCCTTGGGAGTGAAGGCAGAGTTCAGAGTGGTGGGGGACCTGAAGGCTGCCCCTCACCCCCACCCCAGCACAGGACAGTGGAGAGGAGGCACAGACCCCAGGAGGCAGGTGCAGGGGAGCTTGGAGGCACAGGGCCACTGCCTGA